GACGCAGAGAGCACTTGCTCAGCTACGAAACGGCAAGTGTGTCGGTGCCCACAGGATCTCGCCTGAAATATTGAAACGCGACGGACCCGCGTTGGTGACTGCGCTACACCACTTGTTGAAACGCGTATAGATTGAGAAGTACGTGCCTCCTGAACTGAAGTACGCCGTTGTGCTACCGCTGTATAAGAGTAAAAGGAAGCAACCAATGCTGAACGAAGTATCGTGGCATCAAATTGCTGAGTTGTGTGGGCAAGATGTTTTCCAGTATGCTGGTGGACCGCCTTGTCAGTCAGGTTGTGGAAGCGAACGTGTCGGAAGAGTAATGTGGATTCCGTTCGGGTCACAGCACTATAGATATGGTGTTTGTGGTTCGTCAGTTGCAGGAGAATTGCGGAGAACGACACCAGTCATTGTACTCGCTTTTTGTTGACTTCACCAAGGCATTTGATACGGTGAACCGCGAGGCACTGTGGCTGGTGTTGGGTAAGTTTGGTTGCCCGCGTAAGTTTGTAAGTTTAATTGAATGTCTGCACAAGGGTGTGCGAGCGAGGTTGCAGCTGAGTGGAGAGACCTCTGATGACTTTGCAGTTGTCACTAGTGTGAAGCAAGGCTGTGTCTTAGCTCCTGCCCTGTTTAATATCTATCTTCATGCAATGTTGTGTTGTGCTTTTAATGCCGCTTGTGCTTACGGTGTTCGTGTGGAGCACCGTATTGATGGTGGGTTGCTGAACATCCGTTGTTTTCGGTGACAGAACTCTAGTCTGTGAGACAAATATCCGTATGTTGCTGTTTGCTGACGACTGTGCGTTGTTTTCACACAGCGCGGATGAGTTGCAGCATATGAATAGTTCTCTGGCTTCGACAGCGGCCACATTCGGACTCATCATCAACACAAGCAAAACTGTCTTTCTCTTTCAGCCTTCACCGGAGGTGCAATCTTCAATATTGCCGCGAATCAGCATTGGTGCTGAAGTATTGGAAACCACCTCCTGCTTTTTCCACCTTGGGAGTGTGATGTCGACTGATCAGCAGCTACACGTTGAGTTGCGTATTCGCGTGTCGAAGGCAGCGGTGGCATTCGGGAAGCTTGAGTACCGAGTGTGGAACAACCATCAGCTTAGCATTGGCACGAAGCTGATGGTGTACAAATCCACGGTACTGTCCGTTCTTCTATACGGCAGTGAAACGTGGACGATATACCGTCGGGATGTGCGATTTCTCGAGCGGTTCCATCAGCAGTGTCTGCGACGAATTTTGCGGATCGGCTGGGGCGCCAGAGTTGCAGACACGGAAGTGTTGCGCCGAAGTGGGATGTATGCAGTGGACTGCATACTTTTACTGAGACACCTGAGATGGCTCGGCTATGTGAGCCGTATGGATTCGACGCGGATACCGAAACAACTCTTATACGGTCAGCTGAGTATTGGGAAGCGGCACGTGGGGAAACCAAAGTTACGTTACCACGACATGATTAAAGTGAGCCTCACACGTTCTAATCTTGATTGCAGATCATGGGAATCGAAGGCGGTTGATCGGCGTGCATGGCATGATCTAATCACGAAGGCAGTTGCTGAAGTGCGGGAGAAATCCCTCATTCATGCGGAGAAGAAGCGGCAGTTGCGGAAGCGGCAAGCACCGATGGGTTGTACTCCATCGACATCGAGCGCATTGTGCTGTAGAACATGCGGTCGCGAGTGCCTGAGTCAGGCAGGCCTGGTGAGCCATGAGCGAGGCCACTCGGGACCACCGCCGAAGGGAAGATGTGCCCTGCAGAGAAGGTAGACAGAACCAGCGCAGCGTTTTTAGGTATGCTGCGTTCGATTTACTAACTGTGTGCTAGCATGCTGGGTCACTTTATTTCAGTTAGTGCGTTTTCAATTTTGTCCTATGGACCGCCTCCTACGCTGACCGTTGGCGGGGATCAGCTAGAAGTCGTTCAAAAATTCAACTACCTGGGAAGTTGTATCAGCGCCCGTGGGATTGAAGTTGAAATCACGAATCGTATAGCATAAGCTCGGGGCGCTTTCGCTAACCTTCGCCACTTATGGCGGCGGCGCGACATCACTCTTGCCCTGAAGGGTAGAGTGTACAATGCAGCAGTACATTCGACCCTATTGTACGGTTGTGAAACCTGGCCGCTTAAAGCAGCGGACCTGAAGAGGCTAGTTACGTTCGACCACCGGTGCTTTCGCAATTTAGCTCACATCTGGTGGGAATACCGCGTGAGCAACGAGCGTGTTCGACGCCTTGTTTACGGCCTAGGAAAAGGGAATGAACCGCTCAGCACCGTTATTTCACTCACCAGGCTCCGATGGCTCGGCCACGTGTTACGCATGCCAGCCCACCGACTTCCGCGACGTGTGTTGTTTGCGCGCCGGGGGTGTGGATGGAAGAAGAGGAGGGGTGGCCAAGCGATGACTTGGTCCAGAGGAATGAAGACCCTCACTTCTGCACTGGCCTCGGTTGGAGCGTCTCCGTTCCCTGGTTGGGGTCCGAAAGACGATGAACACACCGATCAGATCTTAGATTATCTTAATCTATCCGACCATATACAAGCGAAGTAGCATGAGGACGCTTTTCAAACGGGCCCAGACACACTGTAACAAGCCGCAACTGAGAAACGCAGAGGAAGACCATTTATTTAGCATAGTTCAGCGAAATTCGTACCCTAGAACCTTTACTCTAGGCCGCCTGTTGTCGAAGAGGCAGTCACAACCCGCGTCTACATGTGCAACAGAAAGTGCGATTATCCTACCATGCGATTTCTGAAATGGTATAGGTAGAAATTCGTCACATCTAGACTCACTCAGACAGTCACCACACGCCCGGAAAAGTACTGTACGCGCTTTTCATCCTTTCGGGAATCATCAGCATTGCGCAATCCATCAGACCCCTGGTAAGGCTCGAACCCGCAACTCGACTGTTGCCAGTCCGTGGTTGAGACCACTGAGCTACGGGGGACGGCAACGACCATCGTGAATAAGTTACTGGATGTGATATAGCGCCGCTCACTATCCACTGACTTACACGCTACTGCCGTGCAGAGGACAGGGTAGCCCCCTCACCAAGCGACGAGCTTAACAAACTTAAGCCGCCAATTAACTTATGGCGTTATAAACAGTTTGTTCTGCGGACTGATTACAGAAGAGTAGTAGGGGAGTTGAATGGTATGGGTAGAACTTCGTCACATCTAGGCTCACTCAGACAGCCGCCACAAGCCCGGAAAAGCACTGTACGCGCGTTTCACCCTTTCGGGAATCATCAGCATTGCGCAGTCCATCGGACCCCTTGTAGGGCTGGAACCCGCAACTCGACTGCTGCCAGTCCGTGGTTGAGACCACTGAGATACGGAGGACGGCAACGACCATCGTGAATAAGTTACTGGATGTGATATAGCACCGCTCACTATCTCGTCGCTTGGTAAGGGGGCTACTCTGTCCTCTGCACGGCAGTAACGTTTAAGTCAATGGATAGTGAGCGGCGCTATATCACATCCAGTAACTTATTCACGATGGTCGTTGCCGTCCCCCGTAGCTCAGTGGTCTCAACCACGGACTGGCAGCAGTCGAGTTGCGGGTTCGAGCCTTACCAGGGGTCTGATGGAATGCGCACTGCTGACGATTCTCGAAAGGATGAAACGCGCGTACAGTACTTTTCCGGGCGTGTGGTGACTGTCTGAGTGAGTCTAGATGTGACGAATTTCTACCTATACCATTTCAGAAATCGCATGGTAGGATAATCGCACTTTCTGTTGCACATGTAGACGCGGGTTGTGACTGCCTCTTCGACAACAGGCGGCCTAGAGTAAAGGTTCTAGGGTACGAATTTCACTGAACTATGCTAAATAAATGGTCTTCCTCTGCGTTTCTCAGTTGCGGCTTGTTACAGTGTGTCTGGGCCCGTTTGAAAAGCGTCCTCATGCTACTTCGCTTGTATATGGTCGGATAGATTAAGATAATCTAAGATCTGATCGGTGTGCATAGCTTTCCGATAAGAAAAATGACCATTTGCCATTCCTGGACGTGCTCGTGAGAAGACATGCTTTTGGGTCACTGAAAACAACAGTTTACCGGGTCCTATGATTTGTTATTACCCGTGGCTTTCTTTCAGGGCGTTGAGCCATCTATCGATCCTCAGTCAGCTGTGCGGAAGATGGTGAGGTTAGGACATTTTGCTCCCAACTATCCAGTGGAAAACATTACTCCACAGAACCGATGGATATCGACAGCGTGCAATCAGTTCTATCACGTGATTATCCAGGATCGTATCAATGAGAAACATCATTAGAGCACCGTTGAATACAAAGATGCAGGAATCGTGAGCAAAGCGTTGTCATGACCACTTGTTGCTGTGCACTACCCTGTCCAATCGCTATATGCTAAGGCGGTTTCTCCATTATTGCCATCAGCAAATTGTGGTTCAGATGCTGCAGCAATGCGCTACTAAGCACCACAGGACTGAATCCAAATGAACTGCGGGTCTATTTGAAACTGCATACAAATTACCTATGTCGTGAAACCTATCTCGCTATTAAGGACAGTCAAAGTGAACACATTGTCTCGTGATTGAAAGCTTTATAATACCCTAACAAACTTACAAAGCTGATACTTTTCTACATAACTGTAAGCCATGAGTTGAAACTCAAGCGTATCTGACTCATAGGGAGTTTGCTGCACGTGGTGTCTATCAGAACGGTAGTTGGCATATCGGAGTAGTACACGTATGCAAAACTTGCTTTGTGGGGACCACACGACAATTAGTTGGTGGCATTTTGTGCTGTAAATGAAGAGTGCGCGTTATAGTCTTTATGCAACACTTCTAATAGAAACTTAAAGATTCCGTGAGTGCTTAGTCCTATAAAATTTACACCAATTTTCAGGATCTGGTTAAACGCCATTTCGTCACAGAAGTGACTTGTTTTGTCCGTGTGAACTTTTCTCACCTCTTTCATTTCCTCGGAGCAGTTAGTTTCTTTTTCGTTAAATGCGCTTGCAGTCTTGTTATTGAGCAATACTACAAAAGGAATAAGAATATCATGATGGTCTAGTACCAAGTTGCTTTTAGACGCGTCTTCACAAAAAGGCTCGAGAAAACACAATGTCAGCATCTCCAGAAACGCATGCTTGTTGCTTGTGTCGATCGCACCATGCTGTTAGGAGGATTTACGAAGAAAAAGGGGGAATGCAAAACACGAACCAGTAAACTTTGAGGAACTGAGGCAGCTGACGAATAGTACCAAGTATGGCGACGTTACTTTATTACTAAAAGAAACTTATGGCTAACCATACTACACTCTGGTCGTGCATCGTTGCAAATCGGAAGCCAGTAAGCTTGGGATGGAGAAAGAATCAAGGAAGCTCGAACACTTGCTTTACAGATAGTGTCGGACTTTGTCGGTCGGTGTTGTTAGTGGCCTCACTCGTTGAAGCTCAGGCTGGAAAGTCAATAAATCTCGCGCTGGCCTACATTCATTCGCGAGCGGCGATTCATGAACTAACGGCTGTTGAAAATTGGTGCCTAGTTATGAAATAACAGAACGGTTGTCGGCAAGTATACGTCTTCAATTCACTTAGTTGGCGCGAGCACGGTTTTTTCGTAATGTCGCCTTGACCACTGTTCAACGACAGGGACGTAAGTGTCTGCTTCATTAATAGTGCAGTAAAAGCGATACAAACATGTTACGCAACATGTGATTACACCCATTTTATGCCAGCAGCAATCCAGGGCCATTAAATCGGCTGTTGCCATTTCAATGGAACACAGTTTTACTTTAATTGCCGCGAATTCAACAGTCTCCACCAGAGTTTATCGACATTTTCTTCACTTACACTATTTCAAGCTCAGTAGTGCTGGACTGCGCTAATTATTAAAACATGCTTTTGTAACGGTAACTCATTTTATTTTCTATATTAACTATAACTGTACCCTTGATGACAAACGGTATCTCCAGAAAGCATCGACTTACCCTCGTGGCCACATCCGATGGTACCTTACTGTTACGTCACACGTACGGAGCTTACGGACTTGTGCTCTGCGAACACACTCTGCAAATGTAACATGCGTTCTCATTCCTACCTGCGATACTTAGATTACCTGTGCCGTAAATGAACGTGCGGGTGGAACTGCCTCACATTTCCAACCCTTGGACATAAACACCCTTCCACCGTAGCCGTTGAGCATTACACTGAGATATCGTGAGTGCTACGAATGAAAAGTTCAAGGGCGCTTTACCAACTTATAGAAATATCCTCCCGATTGACAGACTGGGATCCGACACTGTGACCATAATAGGAAGCAAACGCCAATGAATAAAATCTTCAGCAGAAATTATTACAGATTGAACACGTTCACATCAAATTGCACTTCCAGCGAAACAAATGGGCTAGATTGTAAACCGCTTTCGAAGTTTTGCGAAACAAATGGAAGGTCTCACCAAACAAAATGGACATTCTGCAAACCACTTTGGACACATAGATTTTAAGCAGAAAAGCAGCAATTCGCTTGCAAGAAAGGAGGAGTAGGGCAGCTGGACGATGTTCAGACTACGTTGTATTCATGCTAATGCAACCGAATTGTGTAATCAGCGAGTGCCACTGCATACTCTTCTCTTGATCGTGAACCTCGATCGCCTCGATCAAACGTGGTGACTGAGTATCATCCTATCTCCCCCTCTGTCTTCTCGCAATCTATGCACTTCTGATTTTACACATGGACCTGTGCAGCTATGTGACTATTGGAGAATCATACACCCCAATCGCGTAGTCTCATGACTTAAGCAAATGTTCCCTAGCATTGGAGGGTCGTTGGGAAGCACGCGTTTTGAGAACGAATTAGGATACTCCATCTCAATGCGGACCGCGATGCCCACTGAATTAAACCTTGACCAAATCGATCACCTGGACCGTAACTGATGAAGCCGATAGGCTACGATCCAGTTGTCACCTGTCACTCCATGGATCTTCGCGTACTTTATGTGGGCCAACCTATTCAGCTGCTCGATTGTTGGATCAGTGCAGGCTATCATGACTCTAGCAAACAAGACATAGTTGTATTGGCCTACTGCTGCAAGTCGTTATCAATGGGAGGGGATTGAAACGACTGGTCAATGTTCTGACCACATTGTGCTCGCGCAACTGCATCGTGACTGCATAAGCAGTGGGCGAATGTGCAATCGCTTCTCTTGATCATGGGCGTCAGTTGCGTTGAGCAGAACATGTGACCCGTATCGCTTCGTGTGCTTTCGCGTATCATAGTTGTTTTCTGGGCGAACCTATTCAGCTGGTCGATTATTGGATCAGTGCATACTGTCATGGTTCCAGCACACATAGTACAGGTGTATTATCCTTTTGCTGCACGAAACGACCAAAATAAGCGAAGGATGACTACAGGCCGCATTTCGATTACGGGGCGGTACAAGAAATTGCTGCGCACCAAGTTTGTGCTTGTCGACGGCTAAACCAAACACGGAACTGCTGAAGGCACGAGTTTCAACGAGCGCACGACAAGGAATATACTCATCGCCTTTAGGAAATCCTGCACGAACATTCGGCGTAGGGGTAGGCATCCTCGTGGTATACTCAGCCAGCGCGCGACTGGTGGTGGTCGCGCGGCAGCAAAGCGCCGTTACGGCGTACAGTTGACACATTATAATTATTATTTACGAAAACTCGGCGAAACAGGGAGAAGCTGAATATTATTATTCTACAACGCAGGAGTGAGACAGCTGAATAGTATTCCGAGAGCAATTTGGTGTAGCTGTAGTGACGGCTGAGGGAGATCGGAATCCATCCATCCCCTATCAACTGCCTTCAAGCCTAACAGGAGACTCCGAAAAACACACAACAAGTTCACTACGAACAAAACCGCATCAACAGTGCCTCGACCATCGCAACCTGACAGGCTTACGTTGTGAACATCTCAGTACACCCCACTATTCCTTCATGCTAACTTCGGTAGCTTGGTTTGAAAAACGTCTATTTTAAAAGAAAAATGGTGTATTGACAAAAAAGTGCATTAACGTTAAACTCATTCAGTTAAGGAAGGGCTGTCTTTGCTACTGCTTTTGTCAGGCTCAGCGTCAATTTGTGGACGCAGTTCGTGCAGTCCTGCTGGGTTACCGTTCCAACCCCCTTTGAATGACCGCACTTAGGGTCTAGTCAGGCATGGGATTATATATCAGACGTCTCGCCGACGCTTTCGCCTTCGAAGACAAATCTTCTATTGGGTTGTTCATGTATGAGCAGGGCTAGAGGAAATTCAACTGATAGGATGAGTCCAAAATCCTCCTTAGATCATCCGACATGTGAATCGTGGCGTTGTCCATAATCAGCCATGCACCGTTCATCTCCACTCTGCAGCGTATAGATTCCACAAGTTCCTCGACGCACACCGAGAACTTTGCAACCTTTCAAGTATCATAGCTGCCGATTTTTGAGTGGACAATGCCTTGGTTATTCATTGTCAAAATCAGCGTCGCCATTCCGCCTCTGACTGTAAGCTAGACGGGATTCGCGCGCGTCCCTTATCTTGAGCGAGACTGAGTCCGTCACATATGTAGATTGAACCCGTTCTCATCTGTGAAGATGCATTTCTGTTTGCCGTTCAGTGCATGTGTTTTAAACTTGGCGTCTTGCAATGGTGGTGGCACTGTTGGCATCGGCGAGACAGTTTCCTTGCGGCTTTCACTGCCACGCGCCACGCGCCGATGCCGCCTTACCTTTGTTTGTGACGGTATGTTGTCTACACAAGGTGTAAGCGCCTTGACCCGGAATGTTTGCTTTGGGCATTAAGGCTTTCAGGTAAGTCCCCCTTCTCTCGCTTTTCTAATTCTTCATTTCACAGGTCTTCATGGTTGTATGGCAGCGAAGCATCAGTTCAAATGGCTGATGTACTGCTGTTGATGATGATGCTGATGGGTGGCACTGTTGACGACGTCTAAGTCCCGGTGACACCCATTGAGAGTTATGCTTACTTTCCTGAGAGCATTGAAAAAAGCAAATTAGGATAGGTGGATCCCAATCTCGCTCAAGCGTTGCTGTAGCTGCACCAGAGTGTCTTCGGAATGTAGTTCAGCGTTTTCCTCAAGGCGCTGCACGACCTCGGTAGTCAGCTTATCCCGGTTGTTTCCACCACGTTTTCACTGAGTGTTTATGCCTTCTCTTCTCTAGGTAAGGGTGAAGCTTTTTGCCTTGCTCTCGTTCATATCAGCGATTTCAGTAGCTTCATGGGTGGTTTTGCTGTTGAAGAACACAAGTTTAGTGAAGGTCCCTTTCTGTGCCATTGATGTTCGCTTGTACCACCTCGGCCTCGATGATTCGTCCTCTCGCTGCTCATTACTTGTTTTGGTCGTTTCGTGCACCGAAGACTAATAAAATTATGCTGTGTTTGGTGGAGTCATGATAGTCGTACTGATCCAATAATCGAGTGGCTGTGCAGGTTGACCCACACCCAAAGTAAATACGCGGGTGCCCATAGGGTGACAGGGCAAAATGCCTCACCAGCTTCGATGGAGGCGAACGATGCCAGTGATCAAGAGGAAGTCTTGTACCACTGCCCATTGCTAGCACAGTCCCGTTGCATTTGCATGAGAAACATGTGCGTGCAAATCACCTAATCGTCTTACTGCACTACATTGATAAGCAAGTGCAAATTGAGGCCAGCTAAATTAGGCTGGTTTTGATTGATTCATCAGAGCATACACTGTTCCAATATTCGACCAGCTGAATAGGTTCGCCCAGAAAACAACTATGATACGCGAAAGCACACGAAGCGATACGGGTCACATGTTCTGCTCAACGCAACTGACGCCCATGATCAAGAGAAGCGATTGCACATTCGCCCACTGCTTATGCAGTCACGATGCAGTTGCGCGAGCACAATGTGGTCAGAACATTGTCCAGTCGTTTCAATCCCCTCCCATTGATAACGACTTGCAGCAGTAGGCCAATACAACTATGTCTTGTTTGCTAGAGTCATGATAGCCTGCACTGATCCAACAATCGAGCAGCTGAATAGGTTGGCCCACATAAAGTACGCGAAGATCCATGGAGTGACAGGTGACAACTGGATCGTAGCCTATCGGCTTCATCAGTTACGGTCCAGGTGATCGATTTGGTCAAGGTTTAATTCAGTGGGCATCGCGGTCCGCATTGAGATGGAGTATCCTAATTCGTTCTCAAAACGCGTGCTTCCCAACGACCCTCCAATGCTAGGGAACATTTGCTTAAGTCATGAGACTACGCGATTGGGGTGTATGATTCTCCAATAGTCACATAGCTGCACAGGTCCATGTGTAAAATCAGAAGTGCATAGATTGCGAGAAGACAGAGGGGGAGATAGGATGATACTCAGTCACCACGTTTGATCGAGGCGATCGAGGTTCACGATCAAGAGAAGAGTATGCAGTGGCACTCGCTGATTACACAATTCGGTTGCATTAGCATGAATACAACGTAGTCTGAACATCGTCCAGCTGCCCTACTCCTCCTTTCTTGCAAGCGAATTGCTGCTTTTCTGCTTAAAATCTATGTGTCCAAAGTGGTTTGCAGAATGTCCATTTTGTTTGGTGAGACCTTCCATTTGTTTCGCAAAACTTTGAAAGCGGTTTACAATCTAGCCCATTTGTTTCGCTGGAAGTGCAATTTGATGTGAACGTGTTCAATCTGTAATAATTTCTGCTGAAGATTTTATTCATTGGCGTTTGCTTCCTATTATGGTCACAGTGTCGGATCCCAGTCTGTCAATCGGGAGGATATTTCTATAAGTTGGTAAAGCGCCCTTGAACTTTTCATTCGTAGCACTCACGATATCTCAGTGTAATGCTCAACGGCTACGGTGGAAGGGTGTTTATGTCCAAGGGTTGGAAATGTGAGGCAGTTCCACCCGCACGTTCATTTACGGCACAGGTAATCTAAGTATCGCAGGTAGGAATGAGAACGCATGTTACATTTGCAGAGTGTGTTCGCAGAGCACAAGTCCGTAAGCTCCGTACGTGTGACGTAACAGTAAGGTACCATCGGATGTGGCCACGAGGGTAAGTCGATGCTTTCTGGAGATACCGTTTGTCATCAAGCCTGCTCAACGATCATCTCGCTATGTCGTTTTCACCTCGATTGACATTTCGTGCCACCAACAGCGACGTGCTTAACAAATGACAGAGTCATATTGAGATTAAATCTCAAATCTAAATGATGAGCTATCTATCACGAGCATACCTGGACGCGAACAAACAATACCCCAAACGGCGGCTATCTTTGAGACAACACCCCTCTGATTTTAGCTGTTCCTGTGGCCATTTTGACCTCATGCTTATGTGGTACTACTTATGGTATTACCAATGATAAATCATTAAACACATAGACACACATGCAAGCAGTCATATATATATATATATATTTATATTTATATATATATATGCCGAAAAACTACTACGCGGAGGTAACTGTGATTATTATAAGGGTTTTTATGAAGTTTACACTCAGAACGACCTGCAGCTTGTGATGTAGCACGTGATAAGCCTCACCGGCTATTTTATGATTCATTCGTAAACAATGTTGGATATCATCCTTGTTTTGTCCCGTAGAGGAGCTTATGTGATGGATGAGTCTACAACCATATTCAGCACTCGGTGGACGCTAGGCTACATAGTTAATATGTATGCGAACTCAATCCCTCTAGTTCCCCGGGAAAGTGCAGATGAATAACAAGAGGCTAATACTAAGTTCCCTACATCGGACGCAAGTTGGCAATGTAGTACCGCAAACTTGTATGGATCAATCCTGCGATTCTTCTATCGAACGGCCAAGCCTTGAACACACTTTTCATAGATTGTTGTATAGCAGTATTTGCGTAGATGAAGTTTCGTTCCCAATGCATGTATTCTACGCCCCTAATTTAGACTTTGGGAAGCTGCGTTCTTTTGAAGGCTTCTCCAAATGGGGGATAGATGGGTAGACAGCTTAAGAACTTAGTGCTCTTCACTGACCAGGAAGGAAGTAGCGAGGAAACGATCACTTTTGAGCGCATTATTCTTGCAATAGCGCATGTTTGGAACTAGCGAGTCAGACACGCTGTTCGTATTGATCCCACAAGTATTCTGTTAAGTCAACAAAACATGAGATGTGTATCGTTACATCTAATTACTTGTCGATATGACGACGTTTCTCTTATTGACTTGCATCAATACTGCTCTTAGATGAATCACCGCAAAATGCAAAACATCTTGACTAACGAAGGCTTCCTATGAACGACTTACTAAGTTGTAAGGGTAAGTGTAGTCCAGACCAGTTTAGATGAGTATGTGGTGTATTTTAATATTTATGTTTATCATGGTGTATGACATTTGTTACCGAGGGCTTTCACAGTGCGAATATAAATATAGCATGCAGCGGGGGAAATGTTGTTTGGGAATCCACATCAAAAAGTAGTACTAAGACCGCAAATGAGAGAGCGGTAAGTTGAGAGGCATTAAAACAACAAGCGTTGGAAGCAGAAACTTTATCGCAAAATGTATGCAGGGGGGTTTGAAGAAATCGAAATCGCTACAGGCTCCACAGTAAACTTCCCATTGTAAGCAAGCTCCCATGTAGTGTACTGGTGTTGCTGCTCCATTCGAATAATGTACTTAAATTCTAACACGATTATCATTGAAATCAATGCTGTGCTAACAATTGAGTCAGCTTTGGTTAAGAACATGACTTTGACGACATGCTAGAATTCTAAATGCAAGAAGAGAAAATATTTCAGCTGGCGGGATATTCTGAATTCCGTATATTTCGCGTATTTTCATTCAGCCACATACAGATTAATAATGAAAACTTTAAACGAACAGAACTGAAAAGGAATCAATGACAAGAATCGATATACGGCTAAAATGGAAAATTCAGGAAAAATCACCATATCATGGCAGAGCAAGACTGGCCCCAAGTTCCAGTTGCTTGCATAGGTTAAGCTTTAGAAGCCGGATGGCGGCGGCCTCAGCGAACCTTAGCTGGTTAGGATTACTTTGCCTGCTACGAACTTGGAATGCTTCTCTGGGGTTTTGGCACAGTATACAGTCGAACAAGTGCCTAGCAATTGAACCTAACAGGTAGTTTCCAACCAGTCAAGGCTAGATTGTGCCGAATGTACTCCGAAATCCGGGTTGACAGTCTTCTCTCAGTCCGGCCGATGTACATGCTACCGCATGTACATGCTACCGCATGTACAGTCACCAGATGACAGAACTGTTTACTGTTTGTGATTACTACCTTGATGTGGTGAATAATGTGCAGGAGGTAGAAAGAACTACCATGATTATTGCAAGCACCACACGGATAGGCTTGCCACATGTGGATAAACAATGCAATATCTATGTGCGCCCACAGGACAACAATATGGTATCCGAAAACCTACTTTCGTTGTAATGGTTGCAACACTTGGTGTAATCTTGCAGCGCTGCCTTCAGGTCCTCCGATAGTATGCTCTATGAAGTAATAATGTTGAAACGGCATTACCTCCTCACTTCGTAATGTTTGTATATGACGTAACACAAAACAATTCTTCACCAGATTGTCAATGACGCGCAATAAGATTCTGCCCGCTCCATACAGGTTCCTGCTTTGAGGAATCATATCGATAGGAGAGTGTATACTCCGATTAACATCCGTTCCCGAACGCATATCGTGACGTGCACTAGTTGTTCCAGGAGTACGGACAATTTCGCAGTGCTAAAACCGAGGAGCAAAGGATTAGGATAATAAGCATCAAGCAGAACAACAAAATTAGTTAGATGATTTTGACCTGAGTGAGAACAAAACTGGGTATTCACCAGGTTGTATCGGGTGTTTCGCATCCCAAATGCACAGTTTCGTTATGGCTCCATCGGGTACAGTTGTTTTTCGCTGTGTACTCCACCTCACATCTCTATTCCCTTGCGTCAGCCATGACAGCCATCGGTTCAGTAAGCTACCATGCTCATGTTTGTTCCTGGCTACATCGTCCGTTCTTGCCACCCTGTACGAATTCCAAGAAGAACCCACTGTGTTTGACTCAAAACAGCTTAGTCTAGGAAAGACGGGATCGCGGCGTCTAATAATAATAATAATAACAATAATAATAATAATGTGTCAGCTTTATGCCTTAGCGACGCTTCGCTGCGGTGGGACCACCACCAGTCACACGCGGGCTGAGAATACCGCGAGGACACCCACCCATACGCGGATTCGAACCTGTGCCACAAGAGTTCGAGAGGGGCATTCCCGTCTTCCGCGTCTCACATAGCACCAAAACAAACCCAGTTATATAAGGAATGTCGAGCACTCGCACCTGCTCCTCTTTGAAATATGTCAGTTGTACTTAATCAGTTGGCGCATCAAATGAGTGAATTATGTCCAACCGCTCTTCAGCTCCAAAATAAATTGTCGTACATGCCCGAAAACCCGTGTAGCTGTTAACACGTCCAAAGCATAGGTGGTGCTCAAAAGCAGCTGTTGTCACTGCACATCGAGCCCTCTAGGGGGGATTAAATGTGCACAAACTAAGTTCGCAAGCAAACGCCCTAAACGACATGAAGTCGCTACCGTCGACCGTGAAGTCAGTTCTCATGGATGAAGACAAATCGCTTTCATCACTTAGTAATACTTCGGTTGATGCCATAATTCATAACGCAAAGTTTCGGCCGCGTAACATACCAGCTTTTGTTTCCTACCTCGATTCACGGGCTACAGCCGTTCAGACATAGCCGCCTCCCACAGTCGATCACCATGGTCAGGAGGTATGTAAATCGGTTCACGATTTAGACTAAGTAAATTTCAAATAGTTCCGCACCTACGGACATTCGTGCATATCTGTCTGGTCTTTTAGTTGGATAGCGTTTTTTGAACCCACAAAAATGCAGAGAAAAATAGAACTATTGCACACATAGCACTTGTTTCCCCCTTTTGTGTGGTGCCCTTACACGTCCCAGCCCTCGCGCTCCATAAATTGGCCTTCGCGAAGAATGCATTGCGTATTACCACGTCAAGGAGAAACAAACTCTAGGGCCCGAGATTCCCCTGGGACGAGACTTCCTTAGGTGTCAGAGATAAGGCGGCGTAGGTGCTATTCACAAATGCAGCGTCCGGCAACAGTAGACGCCGAGGTCCTGCCACCCTTTACACTGAAACAACCAGCAGTTTTAGTCCAGTTACCGGGCAGCGAAACTAACCACGACACATCCCGCTATGTAAGTAGCTACATGTTGGTACACATTGACACTGAGGACCCAAACAAATCCTCCCCGACGTAAACAGTCCTATCCAGGATTTTTAACGTACGTTCAGGTATTTGGTAGACACCAACGGTGAATGAGCGCAGTTTTAAGTCATGCTTCAGGAGACCTGACTGCATAAAGAGGTTGGCGACGCAGTTGCTGAAATTAGCGTCTTTATTTGCTATCGTACCGACTGTCCAGGCTTGTAACGGAACCGCAGCAGTAGTCTTAAAGCTTGCGCTAATGCTTATCGGTGCTTAGCAGTGAAAAGAAAGTTCCGATACATGTCACGAGACATCGCCCACTTAGTCTTAAAAGGAATAACAAAATATTTGTGTTGAAACCTCCTAATGAGATCTGTGAACATTTATGCATAACCTGGTATGAAAAACGCAAAAGCAGACCACTACTACAATGGTTTTAGGCCTATTATCATTGAGCAGTTTCAGCGTGATGCAACGCTAAGTGTGCTCTTCAGGGAATTACTGTAGCGTCCTTAAGGTAACGATAACGTGTTCAAAATACATTAGCTCATTCCATCCGAAATGCATAGGAAAGTCCGTCTAATATGCGAGGCAGATAAAGAAAGTTGCTGCCGCACTTTCGTTTTGTCTAACCTGTCAAGTAATTCAAGTTATCAACTGTTTAGTTATCCACCTGAAGAAATGCTATATGTTGACTAACAATCGCGTACATGGTGAATACTAGGATGGTACCCTCAGAAGTAAATATGATCACGCTCGTACCACAACCAGCCAAATCAAGATCCCCCTTTAGACTGAGGAAGAGAGCCAGGCAGCCCAACTGCACAACAGCGTCTGTCTTCAAAACCTCACTCCCACATGCGGATAAGCATCGAAGGTGCCTGCCTACACTCCTTTCAGCGATGCAGCCCATATCAAGTTAGTGGGGATGATGACAATTCTCTGCACGATTTCGTCCAACATGCAGAAAAGCCAAGCATCGTGCGCATCGGTTGCCTCCATGTAAACGCTGGAGAGAACATCTATGTCTCCGGTAGCAGTCCCGAGTAGGGTTAGAATGACGCACGTCCCACAAGCAACCAAACCGCTTAAAACGGTATCAATTAATACCCTCAGATCTATAGCCAACAGAAGATATCACAGCGCATTAACTACTTTGTGCACAAATGTTCCAGAATCGCAGCCTAGTAACATAAAGGGGAAGCTGATGGTGGACAGAAACCAGTGAAAGTGTATTTGTGGTACGATTGGCACTTCGGTTGAGCCCACGACACTGAGACGGGTCACACGTCCCCTGAATTCAGTGCATTTCGGTATACCTCGATATCTTCGATTGGTACTGATTTCCGTTGAAGACATAGTGGCCATTCTACTGTCGTTAATTCAACTCCGTAACTCATCATGTGAGGTGCGCACACTTCCGGTCATCCCTTGGGGACAACGTCCGGAAGAGAAGATCAACTGTGAGGAAGTTTTCAGATCTTATGAAAAAGGACGGTTATTGGTTGCGGGGTTCCTGAGATTCAAACATCGTCTGAGGAACCAGAAACACACGAAAAAGTCTTCCTTGACAATATCGTTGCAAAGTGGTTGATAAGATTTCAGTTTCGCCCGACTACAGGAGTAACGGTTCAAGATGACGAATATATTATTTGGGTCTGAGTTAATGATGTGGCTTATCTTGAGAAGCTGGTCTTACTTCCATAAGAAGCTGCCCACAGAAATTCGGTTAGAGGTAGCGAGGGCCTGACGACCCATTAAGCACGGCCAAATTGCTGAAGCTTCTCTCATACAGCCATGTAAAGCGGTAGATCTGATGGCAACCTCAGCATCCTAGAGCATACGACTAAAGTCGCGTAACCATCAGGACCCGGACAACCGCGAACAATCGTATTACCCAATCGAACATTAAAAGCCAACGCCTCTTCAAAAATACACTTCGTGGCCGAGCACTCAACTGTCGGCACAATCTCTATTATCAGTTCAACACGCGCTAGCTCAAAGTTGGTTGCCGAGAAACTATCTTGCTTACATACTAACGCACCAAGTCTTATTAATACTTTGGTCGAAGGTCGTCATCGTCAAACATCAGAGCCAAGAGATATCATAATTATCACCGAGGCGTAGCTGAACTGTGAAACTACTGATGTGGAGATCGCTCTACCCGGTATGTCACTTTTCCGGAAAGACGGAACAGGTAGGGGAGCAGTGATCAATTATTAAGAAACAAACCGCTGTGATTTCATAGGTCATACCAAATGCATCTCACTTACCTCCTTGGGTGCAAACTGTGATTGAAGCACAACCGTATATGCCTCGTATCCGTAGTTTATCGACCTCCCAAAGATATTTCGGAAATGGACATAGATTAATATCAGTTTTCGTATTGTGATAACTCAGAGATACAGCCGTATTTCCATAACAACATAATTCAACATTCATGATCTGGAAAATACAGTAACCGAGAACGAACAGTTCAAAGCTTATTTGCATGAGCTAATCTCCAGCACACCACTATGCATCCACATCACCGGTCCCACCAGGTTCAGCACAGCGAAGAGTCTACCAATGTTAGATCTAATGTTCACCAACGAGGAGCTCATGGTTGATGGTCCAATTACGTGAGGGGCTTTGGGTCAAAGGGATGAGGTGACTCTACTGTAAGGCTGAGTACTGCGATGCAGCGCTCGAAAGGATAAAGTCTGTTACACATTACCATGGATTGTCCGTGTTCGCTGAAAATAGTAGTCGGACATTCATGACTGAGTAGACTACAGAAATAGCCTGAGAAACATCCGTATAAACCTTCACGTCACAATGTGCGGAAGCATCAGAGTTAAAAGCTTCCCAACGTTTCCTCAAACTAAACTTCCTTTTGAGAAGTTGAACATTAAAACATATGGTCTTGGAGGATCAGACGTGGCGAGTTTACAAAACAATCCCAGCTCCGAAAGTTGGACAACGTACGGAACTAAATACAAATACTCTGAGCAGTTAGTTTGTGAAGACAAGAAAAGCCACCAGCAGGAGGTAGGGAAACGGTACTCTCCGAACCACAAGGTTTTCACAAACACGTGAATGAACTTTGTGTAGTACGGCGCGAAATTCCACCCATCACTACGGTCGGTAGGTATAGACGCACAACGGATGAACGGCCAGCGTCTTACGGGCGCAGTACGCATCTACATTCCAAGGGGTAAAAGCCTCGAACGCTGTTTCTCCACCAACAGTTTTATTCAGCAGCCCATTAACAGGAGAAACGGTACTGAACAAGTTACTATATTTGCCCACGCACAACTCTCCTGGAGTGGATAACATTCACCCTAAAGCACTCAAGGTAGCAACCATGTACCTATCCAAACCACTAGCCGGATTCTTTCAGCATTGTCCAGATGAAAAATTAGCTCCGTCAAAGGGGAAACGAGGTTTTATAACCCCTATCCACAAGAAAAGTCGATCTGATACTGCCAATTGCTGCTCGGTAACCCCTCTC